AGGAGCTGTTACCTCCTGCTCCAGGCCCCCAGACCCATCCCAAACCCTCCCTCCCCTAGGGAATTCCCCCCTGGCCCCTCCCACCCACTCCCCTGAGAGCCACAAAGAGTTAAAAACGACAGTGAAGTTTAATTAAAAAGACAAAATAAATCTACAACTGCTGTACATATACACATTAGTTACATTACGAAATTCCAGAGAAGTATCTGCTGGATCAGCTTTGCTCTACCGATTTCCTTTCCCCTGGAAGCAGCTGCTGGTCCAATATCCACAAAATCTGTGAGCAACCAAGGAACAGTCACAGATTGTTCTAACATCACACTCCACACCCAAAATGGGGCCAGGATGAGACAGAGTTTTGCCTGTAATTCATGGGATTTTTTCTCAAATTCCCTAGAATTAACTCATATGTGGATTTGCACTGCTCTGGTTTTTCAGGGTTAACAAAAATAGGTGTTTAGATCTGGCAGATTTTAGCTCAGTGGTAGGAAGCACCTGACAAAATTTGGGGATAATATACAAAAATGATACCAGTCAAGGTGGAGAGGAAAGCAAAAGCTCTGGAAACACGTGAAAAATAGGATACAAAGGCCCTTGAATGCTCTAGCAAAGGTCCCAAACAGTACAAATTCACAGTGTCCCAAGTCCTAAACACCTCACAGGATGCAGCACAGATCCAGCACTTCTGGGAGATGGGAAGTGTCCCTGGGGAGGGCAGTGAGGCTGTGCTGGACAGCTCCCACCTTTGGGAATGAGTGTCCATTGCACTTCTGCACAGGAGCAGAGGGAGAAAACAAGTTTTATCTCTGCATGAAGTTCTTTTCCAAAGCAGCAGGAGTCCTCTGCAAGGAGTGGATGTTCCGTTTCACTCTGTCCTCCAGGGTGGAAGTTGAGGCACTTTCCAGCTTTAAACGGCTGCAGGAAAGGGAAACAAAGGGGAGAAATCAGAATGAAGAGCAGGTTTAGGTTAGGGATTGGGTATTGGGAAAGAATTCCTCCCTGGGATCAGCTCACAGTGGGACAAACTCTGCTCCCAGACACACAGTTGGGTTACACACAGCTCTTCCAGCCCCCAAAACAGCCAGGACCTTGCTGGGCACACAGGGTTGAGGGGTTTGGAGTGGATTTTGGGCTCTCTGTGCTCCCTCTGTGCACTGGAGCCACTGAGCTCCAGGGGCTGCTGAGGGATGATGTGTCTCCAAGGGGAAAATTCCAGCTGGAGTGGGAAAAATTCCTCCCTGTGAGGATGGTGAGGCACTGACTCCTCTTTCACAGATGGAGAAATGGACTCAGCAGAGGATATTAGGAATAAATCCTTCCCTGTGAGGTGCTGAGGCTCTGGCATGGGTTGCCCAGAGCAGCTGTGGCTGCTCCATCCCTGGGAGTGTTCCAGGCCAGGCTGGATGGGTTAGAACAACCTGGGCTAGTGAAAGGTGTCCCTGCCCATGGCAAGGAGTGGGACTGGATGAGCTTTAAGGTTCTTCCAACCCAAACCAGTCTGGAATTCTATGATCCCAGCTCTGAGCAGCTTCAGGAATTAAGTACATGTTCTCCTCTGATTAATTTCTTCATCCTGGAAAACAACATTGCCATGGGATCTTTCTCCCACCCCACTGCACCTCTGGAAGGTGCCACTGCAACCCACTTTGCCTGCCATGTACACGAGGGACTGAGTTACCACCTGTGTTTAGAAATTGTCATCAAAATAACCATCTTTTGGGTTAAGGAGGGAATGTGGGAATAGCAGATGCCACTAGCTGTGGTGTAAAACACAGTGATGGATCTCACACCATGATCTGCACCATCCTAAAGGTTAAGACCATCACTTAGGAGCTGTGGCCTGTATTTCCCTTGAATGAGAAAGAGATGAAAGACTCACTGGAAGAACTTTCCATCCCTGGAGTCGAGTTTCTCCAGCGATTTCTCCAGCTCCTCCTCCTTCCGGTGCTTCCTGAGGTTGTTTGCTCTCTCCTCTTCCCTCCACTTGGCATTTTCCATCATTTCCTGCCGTTTACGCTCCAGTTCCTCTGGAGAGAGTTTTCTGTTTGGGCAGAAAACACCTCTGCAGTAAGCCAACAGCACCCTAGGCCCCACCCCCCTCTGGCTTCCCATTCCTTGAGTCCATGGAATCACTAAGGTTGGAAAAGACCTTTCAGGTCTTCAATCCAACTGTCAAAGATGCTTTACAATCCCCCAAATTAGGTGTCATTAAGGTGGTTTTCCTTTGGTGGCCAATCAGCAAAGCTTCTAAGCACATGTCTGTTCTGCTCCACCACATCCCAGCAAGTCTCTGTTCTCCCTCATCTCAGCCCCCTTGAGTTTAATAGACCTGTAAGATGATGCTCTCAAGGTCCTTTTTGCCTGTTGACAGCGAAACAGAATCTTCTCATTAACAGTCAGACAAATGCCTCTCATGCCTGCTTGGCACAGTGATGGAGCCACAGAGAACCACTGACCACATGGGATGGAGACACCACGTGGATTGGTTTGGGAAGGTGCCCAAGGTGTCAACTAACAACCACACTGAGGCTGAGGACTCTCTGTCTGACCTTCTGCACATCTGATCTGATCTACTTCAGTTAAAAGAGGAACATTTGGCTCACAGCTCACACCCAGGAGGGTCCCAGCCCAGCACAGGCCCAGGTGTTGCTCACCTGGTGTACCCCGGGGGGTGCTGGCGACGGTAGCTCCTCTTTGGGGAAGGACTTCTGGCTCTGCCCTTCTCCTCACGACTGCTGTGTCTGCAACCCCAAAACACCCTGATCAGCACAAACCAACAGCCACTACCACACCTCCCAACTTCCCCTGCATTTCTGAGGCCCAGACACCTCCCACAGCTGCTCACCCTGAAAACTGATGCTAATGACCCTTAATACACTGCAAATTCCCATGGAGTTTTCACTCAGCTCTAATTATTCAATCAGCAAATGATAAGGACTTGATTTTCTCTGCATTTGGTGAGGATAATTCAACAGCTCTAAATGATCAGTTTGAAGTGAATCTGCAGCCCAAACAAGGCAGAGTCACACGCAACAGCTAAAGGGTGTGACTAAAGTGTGTCCCAGTGCAGAGTGGGATTGTCTCCTCCTGTGTTTCTGCACACCTGGACAACACCTTTGAGATCATCCAGTCCAACCTAGCACCTAACACCACCAGATCAACTACACCACAGCACTGAATGCCACCTCTAGGCTCTCCTGCCTTTCCACCTTCCCACCCAGCCCTGAGCCACGTGAGCAGGACACTACAGTGGTTGGAGATGGAATAAGAGCTATTTTGACTCCAGGGAATTTCCCTCTCAGCAGCCCTTGGGTTTCCCTCCCCCACACTCACTGTTTGCTGTGTCTGGAAGGAGATCTTGACCCCCTGGATGCAGCTTGCTCCGAGTTCCTCTTGCTGGAGTGTCTCTGTGGGGAGCGGGACGTGCTGCGGGAGCGATCCCGGTGCCTGGGGGGAGCACCAGAGGAGCTCCAGGACCTGTGGCTCTGCTCAGAGTCTCTCACCTGCAGTTCAGAAGGAGCTGGTAAGAGCACAGCAATGGAAGGGCACAGAGGAGAGCTCAGACAGGGTGAGTTCAGGGAGCAGTGCATGTTGTAGTTTGAGTTTGTTTGCTTCACTGCCCTGTGAGCTAACTCTGCTAACAAGTTCCTGTTCACCTCTGTGGCTAAAAACATCAGGTCTAAAGAGATTATTTTGCTCTGATGTCCAGAAAACTAAACAGCCAAGCAGAGTATGTGAAGAGATGAGGGAAGAAATCCTTCCCTGTGAGGTGCTGAGGCACTGGTTGCCCAGAGCAGCTGTGGCTGCTCCATCCCTGGGAGTGTTCCAGGTCAGGTTGGATGAGGCTTGGAACAACCTGGGCTGGTGGAAATGTCCCTGCCATGGCAGGGGGTGGCACAGGATGATCCTTAAGGTCCTTCCAACTCAACCCACTCCATATTCCATAGGTAAATCAGTGAGGAGTATCTAAATAAACCTTAACTTGAATTCTGAGCAGACCAAGTCCCAGCAGGACCTGAATAACTTTACTTTCAAGCCTTAGATAACTTCAAATGGAATCTAAAATCCATCATATCGTGTTCCCCACACAATCCTCTTCCAGCTAGTGCAGCCTGCAGCAAACTGCCACAGCTCCTGCTCCTCCCTGTGACCCACACCTACTTGTAAGCCATATCCTGGGACTTTGGAAGGAGCAGGTTTCCAGGAGGAATTGTCCATCTTCTTCTGAGACCTACAGAGAGAATAGAACAGTCCATTGAAGCAGCAGGTGAATTGCAAGAATACAATGGGTTTTTCAACACTAAATTAGTTTCATTAATGATGCAAAACAAATGAAGTCACACTACAGAGACAATGAAGTAATGAGACAGAAACACTGAAACCAATTAAAACCATGAAGTAGAAACAGAAAGCTCCAAGAGAGGATTTGAAACAGAAATAACAAGCAGGAAATGAGGTGGTTTTGCCCTAAAACCTCCAAACATACTTAGTTTTGCTCCTCTCCTCATCACTGCTGTCACTGTCGCTGCTGGAGCTGCGACGTCGATGCTTCTTGTGCTTCTTCTTCTTCTCTTTCTTCTTCTTCTTCTCCTTTTTCTCCAAACTGTTTTGCAGCTGTAAAGCAAAACACCATTTTGTGAGTCATTATCACTGCCCCTTCTCTTGGGAACTCAGGGAAAATGACAGAGTGGAAAAAACCTGAACCATTTCACAGGTTCTCTCTCAAAATTAGAGCTGAAGTCAGGAAACAGCTCAGTTCCTCCTCCTAAACAATATAACCTTCAATTCCTGACCCTCTCCCTGGCTCAATACATTCTGTGCTTTGTGGATATAAAGGAACCCTGAGACACACATACCAATGCTTTGATTTTCCTCATTTTCACTGGATTGTTCAGGACTTCTCTCTTCTTCTCCTCCTCCCTCTTCCTAGAGCAGGAAAACAACATCAGTCTCTTCAGACAACTCAAAACCATCACATTTTCATGGAAGATAACACCCAAGTACGAGCTCCAAAGGCAGAAAAAGAGGCAAAAAAAACCCCAAACGGATCCAGCTGAGGAAGAATGTTTAGTTTGTTCTCCATTTAGGAGTGTGACAAGTAGGGAAATAAAGATTTGTAAGGTAAGTAACTGTTTGTAAGATAAAGAACAGTTTACATGACAAGTAACACAGTTTTGAGCCAGCTGCTGCTGCTGGTGCCTTTTGCCTCCTCTCCCACTGTTCCAGCCCCTCATTCCATACCTGATCATGAAGAGAGGATCCTCCCGGATCTTGTTTGCCATATCCAGGACTGAGGTGGCCCCTGACTTGGCAAAGATGGAGCCTGGGAGCAGCCCTGTCTCGTTGGAGCATCCTGCATCCTTGTCCTCTGTCTTCTCAAGGATGTACTTGTCCACAGGGCGACCCATCAGGTACTCCTCCCTGTTCACCATCCCCCCAGGGCCCTGGTACATCCACTCCAGCTTCTCTTCTCTCTTCCTGTGCAAGACAAAAACTGACTAAGCTCCCACCTCACAGTTCCAAAGGGACATTTCAAAGCTTAGGAAAGTGAATGGAAAAGTTTTATCATTGGTGCTAAGCATGGGAAGGACATGGAGTTGCTAGAGAAAGGTCAGAGGAAGCACCAAAGGGATTAGAGGGGTAGAGGAACAGCTGAGAGAGTTGGGATTGTTCAGCCTGGAGAAGAGGTTTAGGGATGACCTGATTGTGACCTTCAGTGCCTGAAGGAGCTACTGGAAAGATGGAGAGAGACTATTGACGAGGTCTGGAGTGACAGGACGAGGAATGGCTCCAGACTGAGACAGACTAGGGTTAGATGGGATACTGGGAAGGAATTCCTCCTTGTGAGGGTGCTGAGACACTGGCACAGGTTGCCCAGAGCAGCTGTGGTTGCTCCAAATCTGGAAGTGTTCCAGGCTAGGTTGGA